ACGCTACATGTATATAGTGCAGTGTACTTTGAGCCATCTATAGCCTATACACAAGCAGAACCATACCATAAAAGCAATTGCTTGTTGAGCGCCACTAGTAATCGACATGGACTATAAGCTAATCGTTTTAAACTGTATAACTTCCTTAAATTATGATATCGTAATAGCATAATGTAATATTATTTTATACGCGCGATTATATTTATAGCAAAACAAACTTCGCCCGCACGCGTATTGTTAAAAACTATAATAAATATATTTATATCATATCTGCCGTTCAGTGCTGTAATTATATGTAATAATGTTAAAATAAATCACTATGGTTGCTTTCAATGTATATAAACGCTACGACTAAAACTACAACAAAAATAAAAATTTAAATATGGATGAGAGCAAAATACAGAAAGAACGAGATAGACAGGCAGAGATAGCGCACGAGAGAGAGCGCGTGAGAGAAGAGAGAAGATGAGAAGAGAGAGAAGAGAGAGAGAGCGGCCCCGACGAGAAGAGAGAGTCGCGCAAAGAACAAGAGAGAGGAGGGGAGGGGGGAGAGAAGGATGGAGAGAGAGGGTGGAATAAGTCGCGGCGAGTAGGCGAGTTAGTTAGAAATGCCCGCGAGAGCGAAGTGCGGAGGCACGCACGCACGCACGCACGCGTACGCACGCACGCACGCACGAAGCGACTCCACGCACGCTTGAGGCGCTAGCATTGAATACCGAGATACAGGATCATTTACATAAATCAATATTCACGATACAGACAGTGTCGTACAGCGACGAGAAAGCGGTCATGAAATTCTTTGGCATAAACGGCAAAGCGATAACCGGCGAGTAAAATCGAAGTTCCTCCTGTATTTTCACTTACCGAATCCCACGACTGCCGACTGAAAGCGTAAGAGTCGACTAGATTGATTGATTTAGAGCCCGTTCGTAAAGTATACATAAAGTTGCAAATACAATGGTTATTGAGTCTCTGACAGTTGACACCGTCGTCCTATCGGCGCAAGACTCTAAGTGTTAAACTATAGAGATAGCAGTATGCGGCAAGGTTTTAACATCAACGGAAAGTAGCTATATGTTAACAATTCAGGAAAACTACGGATGCATACCTATGTCGCATGGAGGGATTGTGACAGACATTCACGTGGAATAATAATCAAGCTAGCGTCGTATCTTGATGTATTCCCGTCCACGTCTGCTGCAATATACGTGTATAGATCCGGCCATTTCAAACCTGAAAACATAGCAGAGACATAACAGTGACGAGGGATGCAATAGGGAGACCCTGGTTTGTAAATAGAAATTACTGTTTGTCCTAATATACGTGTCATTTGTTCGACAATGTTTCTCAATACATTGACGTGGCAGAAATCTAATTGCTGTGGCTCTAGGTTTGTGTGAATCATGCATGGTTAAAATCTAAATGTCTTAGCGCCTCTCCCTCACCCACCCTCTATGTGTATGTGTATGTGTATGTGTATGTGTATGTGTATGTGTATGTGTGTGTGTATGTGTATGTGTGTGCTGTGTGTGTGTGTGTGTGTGTGTGTGTGGTGTGTTGTGTGTGTGTGTGTGTGTGGTGTGTGTGTGTGTGTGTCTGGTGCGTGTGGCGTGTGTGTTGTGGTGTGTGGTGTGTGTGTGTGTGTGTGTGTGGTGTGTGTGTGGTTGAGTGTGTGTGTGTGTGTGGTGGTGTGTGTGTGTGTATGTGTGTATGGGTGTGTACCGGCATCAGTCATGCGTATGTCCACGTGTTTGCTTGAAAAGGGAGTAGATAAGGATGAGGAACATGAAAAAAAAGATGGACCAGAAAGCAATAAAAAGACGAAGGAAATTGTTTTTAATTAAAAAAACTACAACAAAATGCTGAAAAATAAACATCTCGCTACTAGAGTTACACGAGACCATATTTTCATCTATTCCTTGACGTGTGTATATGTAACTGTGAAGTTTTAACTTGTATAGATACCTTGTTATTTATACGTCTTGTGACGATGCTACAATATACTGTTTTATTCCGGATGTGATTTCGACTCGACATAACATATAACATCGATAAAAAACGCACTAAGTGGCAGCTTTTACTCATGCGAGGTAGGGAGAACATAAAGTGCCAGGTAGTGTAATATTAACATGTGGAAAAAATCCAGGTTAATATATATTGTATGTAGGACTCTAACTGCATCTAATTAATCCGTGTTATTAAAGTAAAGCCTAGCTGTACTTAATTTCAAGCGTCACGTATGTATCAGTTAATAGTTATGAGCGAATCGTAAATCTTTCTGAACGTCGTCGTTGTCGTCGTCGTCGCTGTTGTTGTTGTTGTTGTTGTTGTTGTTGTTGTTGTTGTTGTTGTTGTTGTTGTTGTTGTTGTTGATGGTGCATGTATCATCGCCATCGTCGCAGCTGTTGTTGTTGGTGGTGGTGTACGTGCCGTCGTCATCGTCGTCGTCGTCGTCGCTGGTGCCGCTGCTGTTGATGGTGGTGGTGTACGTGCCGTCGTCATCGTTGTCGTCATCATTGTTGGTGCCGCTGCTGTTGGTGGTGCAGGTGTACGTGCCGTCGTCATCGTCGTCGTTGTTGGTGCCGCTGTTATTGTTTGTGGTCGTGGAAGAGCCGTTGTCATCGTCGTCGTCGTCGTCGTCATCGTCGTCATCGTCGTCGTCCTTGTTAGTGTCTTGCTGTTGCTAAGAACCCGCTTCCCCTTAATTTTCGCATCACGAAGTAAAATCAGCGTGTGTCTCACTACGTGCATGTAAGCTCATTTCAACCGTATGTCGATGTAAACAGATTGCTAGTAAGCAGAAACCGGCTTATGACGTTAGAGTTAATACACACTGTGTTTATTACTGTGATGCGTGATCTGAATCGTTCGATGCTAGCGCTAGATAAATTACCGTTTATTATTATATGCCATATTCGTTAAACAATTATCTGGCATGTAGCGTATCACCTTGTAAAAAATCGTCTTGAGCCAAATGTAGCAATATTGTATAAATTATTCAATATTTATATAATATTTATATACTATTTACTTATGATTAATTCAAATAAAATATACTTGTCTGATCTCTGCGCAAAGTAGCATTAATTAAGAATATGGCAAGTCTATATTTAATCATGACAACTTGACTATGCTAATTTATGCGCATCTACATGCGGCTGTTTGATTAAAAGCGAGTCTGTTCGCAGTGAGACGGAACTACGCCCACATTCATTATTCTCCCACCAGACGATGCAGATATCTATCATAGTTGCCCTCTATTTGCTTCTAACTGTCCGACTGCTAAGTTGGCACTGAGCTAATGTATATAT